TTGTGACATGTAAAGAGCCGCTGAAGAGCAACCTTGCACAACATCTTCGCCATTTTATGGGTGAACATGGATTTGCTGAGGTTTGTTGTTCTTATTTTTAGCTCCTCATAAGCTGATCTTTCTCGTTCAACAGCAGGAACAAGTGATCATGATCCTAGTTCAAGACAATCTAGAAGTCGCCTGTTCCGCAATAGAGAAGGCGGCGATGGAGAGAGCGGTCGCAGAAGTTGATGATGCCTTTGCTAGCTCTTACGAGGCTCGGCGCCGTCACCGCGAGGTCAGTATTTGAGTCTAGCGCCAATTCGGAAGCGCTAACTTTGGTTATTTCTAGTCTCGAACGACATCCTCTTTCTATGACCCCAATGCATCGGTGTCCAACTTCTCCTCGACGCTTCCAGACCCTCTTCGGATCCGGCCAAACGGGCTACAAGCCAACCAGCTTGGAGTTTATGAGGACTTTAGTAGGTCCCTTTCCCTTTTACGACCCCCCAAGCCTCACAAGTTTGCAGCTATGGATCCACGACGGAGAATTGCCAGTAGACCAAGCTCTACCATGTCGTTTGTCCCCGGTCATTTCGCGCCCTCTCCAGCTCCTTCGGCAAACAATTACTTGTCGCACCAGGATGCAATGGAGCGATTTGCTGCAAGTTTTATTATCTATCTAAAGTGTGATGATGGTCTGATCGTTGATTTCACAGGTCATGACTCGCGATTTGGAAGCTGTGGTCGCACAATTGCCTGGCCAATCTCTTTCTGTTCTTCCTTCCAACCATGACGTGCGATACCTCTTCCGACAGATTCTCAGTCTTGCCAGTCAGACCGCCGAACCGCACCGGACACCTCTCCTCATGTCGCAAAAGATTGTTCAACTTTTGTACAAGACTCCTTCTCCGCTGGGTCGAGAGGTCTATGTTGCACTCATCGACTCGCTATGCCGAACGTTTGACGACGTTGCAAAAGAAGCTTTAACATGGTTACAGTATGCCGAAGACGAGGTGAGTGACCAGACAATTATTTCAGCGATAACTGAACCATTTTGCAGCGAAAATACAACGTGCCAGTGACAGTGACGCTGCTTCGTGCTGGACTGATCAATGTCACGGTCCAAGATCAGCAGTTGGCCAAGAATCTCTTCAATGATCCTCGGCCCAACTTGCAAGCATTTGTCGCTGGATTGATTCGGGAATGTCTGACCACTGATCCACCTGTCGCCACCCATACCCATTTCACCCATTCGATCGAGGTCATTCAGCAGCTGTCGCAATCTGGCAAAGCTACTGAAGAGTAAGTTGTAGCAACAAAATGAAAGCTTTGAGCTAAACAATTATCTACAGGACTGAACGATTATTGTTGGATCTAGGACGTGGTCCAAGGTCACATACGCCTCACTCCAACGCTGTGGTTCGGGCACCATCTGTGAAACCTGAAACCGAGCAGTTGCGCGATGTCCTTTTCGGAGCTTTCCAGAAATGGGTGGCTCTGTATCAGCAGTCGTCGGCTCCTGAAAAGTCGTTTGTTCAATTCATCTCAGAGTTGTCGAAGAAGGGCATACTGAAACAAGATGACCTGTCTTCCTTGTTCTTCAGGGTTTGCGCCGAGGCCAGCGTCAACAATTACATCAAGTGCATGGCCAATGGAGATTATGAATATGCATTCCATGGTCTGGATGCAGGTTCACGACTCATTGTCTACATGGTCAAGTATCAAGGGGATGCCTTTGGACATGATAATGATGCCGCAAAAGTGCTGTACCTTGGCAAGATTTTGTCAATCTTTGTCCTAGTCTTGGCGAAAATGCACGAAGAGCAAGGTGTAGGCTTCCAGCACAAGCCGTTTTTCAGATTCTTTTCGAGTCTACTAAATGACTTGTACTCTCTGGAGTCACAGCTGGGTTCTGTCTATTTCAAACTGTTGCTTTCCATCAGGTGAACCCGGGTTCTTTTTGTCAAAACTCTGCTGATCGAAGTTTTCCTACAGTGACGTTTTCAGCTCTCTCCAGCCGACCTACTTCCCTGGATTTGCATTCTCCTGGATGTGTCTGATCTCCCACCGGCTTTTCATGCCCAAGCTTCTCCTCTCAGACAACAGAGAGGTGAGTCATGACTAGAATTCGTCTAAAACTGAAATACTGACACTTTTTCAGGGATGGCCATCCTTCCATCGCCTACTGATCTCCCTTTTCAAATTCCTGTCACCCTTCCTGAAGGATGCCGATCTGCAGCCTGCGACCAAGGACCTTTATCGAGGTGTCTTGCGTCTTCTTCTAGTTCTGCTTCACGACTTTCCCGACTTCCTGAGTGGATATTACTTCACTCTTTGTGATGTTATTCCTCCTCGATGCATTCAATTGCGAAACATCATTCTGAGCGCTTTTCCTTCATCGATTGTACTTCCGGATCCTCATCTCAGGAATATCACTTTCGACAGCATACCAGAATTAGGCCCAATTCCGATGATCATGTCCGATTATGCCAACATTCTGAAGACCGAGGATTTGCGCTCCCCCTTGGACCAATATCTGCAACGAGGAGGACCTCCTACTTTCCTTCTGTCGCTGAAGGACAAGCTTCGAGTTGGCAGCACTGAGCCAGAGACTTATAATCTATCGCTCATCAATTCGCTCGTGATGTATATCGGCGTTTCGTCCATTGCCCAGGCCAAAGCATTGACTGGTTCGACATCATTTGTGGCAAACAACCAAGGAGTGTCAGTTCTGCAGTACCTTGCAGCCAACCTCGACGTCGAAGGTATTTAAATTATATTCCTGATTTTATTTTATCTTATTTACGGTCGCACAGGACAACATCACTTGCTCAGTGCCATGGTGTTGCATCTACGGTACCCTAATGCGCACACTCATTGGTTCATCTCGCTGTTGCTTCATCTTTTCACCGAAGTCAAGGATGACTGTTTCCGTGAGATCATGACCAAGGTCCTTATGGAAAGATTCATCGTACATCGACCGCATCCATGGGGCGCTCTGACTGCCTTCATTGAGCTGCTCCGGAATCCGAAATACGACTTTTGGAACAAGCAGTTCATCCACGTTGCCCCCGAAGTGACACTTCTTCTCGAAAGTGTACGTCGTCGACTGAGTTGAAAAGGAATTGACCTGCAACATGTATACAGGTCGCTCGAACCGTCTTCCAATCGGAATAGAAGCCGTCTGTCTTTTTAGGCGATTTTTCTTGCAAATTTTCATATATATATCATCCTTTTATTGGGTTTGTTTTTCCTTTTTACCTGCATCCAATGTATTTTGTACCACCATACTTAGCTCTGTTTTGTTCTTCTGCCAGCTCATTACTGCGTGCTTCATCTCGGAAGAACCGGAACAAATAGTTCAGGAGCTTGGTCAGCTCCGATAGACTGCTTCTGACCAGATATAAATGCTGAAAAATTCATTCCTTCACGTCTTTCGATGCTGTCTTCTACAAAACTCAAGATCCTTATTGTAGGGACAGGCTGGGGTGGTGTCTATTCGGCACTTAGCGCAATACGGGCTCTTGAAAACGCTGGTCGAACTGACGTTCAGGTAATAGTCATTGCGCCAGAACCGACATTGGTTATTCGAGTTCGACTTTATGAAGCAGACATCTCATCTGTAACTCCTTCAATTGCTGAACTACTTTCTGTAATCGGTGTTCAGTATATTTCTGGGTGCGTCGTCTACTATCTGAATGCAACAACTTTGTCTGACTTGCACCAGGTATGTTGTAGGAATAAGGACCGATTCGCGTCAGCTTCAGTACACCACCGCAGAGACAGAAGGAACCCTTCACACTTTGATGTACGACCGATTAATTCTGGCGAGCGGAAGTCAGGTCGTTCGACCGAACATCCCAGGGCTTCATCATTTCTCTTTCACAATCGACAATTATCAGCAAGCCCAGAAATTAGAACGACATTTGCTCTCTCTACCATCGCGTCCAGAATCTCTTGCTAGAAATACCGTCGTCATTGGAGGAGCAGGATTTACCGGTCTCGAAGCTGCGACCGAGATGCCTGCACGTTTACGCGCCATATTTGGCGAAAAGTGCAACTTTCGCGTCATCATCGTAGAAAGTAATGCCTTTGTCGGTCCAGCTTTCGGAAATGGTGCAAGAGGAGTGGTTGAGAAGGCTCTCAAAGCACTGGGAATAGTTGTCTATACTGGAGAAAAGGTAGCGTCTGTCGAGTGCGATGCAGTTACCACTTCTTGTGGAAGACGTATCGACTGCAGCACACTCATCTGGACTGGAGGGACAGAAGCTAGCAGTCTCACGCAACAAATCCCTGGAGCTCAGCTTGACACCATAGGTCGCATATATACCAATCCTTATCTCCAAATCGACGTTGCACCAGATGTATTTGCTACTGGAGACACGGCCTGTGCACCGACCGAGAGTCTCGGTAGTATCGCGTCAATGTCCTGTAAGCTCTCTAGTCTCTTTTTCTGCACCTATAACTGACGGTTTGGTCAGGTCAGTACGCGACTGCCATGGGGTATGCTCGACATAACTGTCTAGGGCTGGTTTAATCAAAACTTTCCAGGAAATATTCAGGACATAATGCGGTACAAGACCTGATTGGCCTACCAATGCTGCCGTTTCGTCCACCAGTTTTCGCTACTTGCGTGGACTTGGGATCTTGGGGCGCTGTCATGCTTCAGGGACAAGAGAAAGAGGTTATCCTGGAAGGAGCTGAGGCAAAGAAGATCAAGCAAGTTATAAATGAAGACATTATCTATCCACCAAGTCACAAAGACCGTGCCGAAGCTCTTCGTCTTGCTAATCCTTTACTTACGCTAAGGTTCATGGACGACGGCAGCGGTAACTATGTCTACGAGTGACAATGGAGCATGAATTACCCGGGAAATCTACCACTATCTATCTAGTCAATGGAATAACACGAATAAAACGAATACGGTTTCACTGCATATAGAGGTATGTTCTCAACCAGGGTTAAAATAAACTCGTCCATGAATGGGTTGAAAATTTGTCGAAAATGAAAAAAACAAATGTCGGTAACAGGAATCGAACCTATGGCTCCTCGGTATCCCAGCACAATGCTACGACCACAACGAGGTGATTTAACCCCTAATCGATACCGACATGCTAAGCAGGGTTGACTCCAAGATCATATCGCAAACAATGACCACCAAGCTCTGTAACGCTTCGATTTCCTTCTTCAGAAGTCAAACGCATGACTGTTCTCGAATAGAATTTGGAACTATGCTACAAAACAAGTAATCTAAAAATAGTACAAGGGTATCGCAGGACAAGAAACTATAGACCGTGATCTCTGGGCGCACTAGATACCAATCTCAGCGTCGAGACTGCTTCGACAGTCTGACCTATCATTTCACCGTAACCTTCAACAGGTCCAAGCGGGTCATGTTCTGTCGAGGGAGTGTTGACAGCAGTCCTTTCTGAACCTGTTGCAGGAGAATCATTGAAAATGGGAGACAACTCTGGGGCAAATGTCAAGCTCCACATGGAAGATCCATACGGGTTGAGTTCGATGTCGGTAGCCGGGTCTTGAAGTGACTTGTTCTTCGACTTTATTCCACCTCCAAGCTTCAATCCCAATCCCGGAAATCCTGCATGACAATTGGGCGTCGCCGTACATATAGAAGCGCGTGAGCGATTTGCAGCAGGACAGCTATAAGTAAATCCAATCCCACTTCCGATCTGCTCGATACCAGTCGGAAGCTCGAGATTCACTCGTCGAGGTTTCATGGACAACATAATTGGAATACTTGAAGGTCGCAGTCGCTTCCGAAGCTTTTGTGGTGTATCTGTAATGAGAGAAAATGGTCGACTGGGAGATATGGTCGGCTGTGATTTTTTTTTCCGAAGTTTTCGAGGTCGATTCAGGGCAACTGCCTGAGCATAATCGATCAGCGGGCTGGTGGCAAGTTCGGCGTCAGTGTTGATCTCATTGTCCAGAGATTCCCAAAAGAGGGTCATGCGATCGGGAAGAGGTTTCTCCTTTGGATCTTCCTCTGAGCGTCGCGGAGAGTTGGATTGAACATTGTCAGGCATTTGGAAGATTCGCGGCAGCAAAGATTGCACACTTTGACGGGCTTCTACTGAAAAGAGAGATGAGGCGTCATCTAGATATTTTCGAGGAGGGACAGTAGTGACAGATGGAGGTCTTGAGGATGTAAACGAAGGAGCTGAGCTAGGATCAAATTATGCCAATTGAGTGACAGATAGAAATAACTGACCGTTGGTCTCTCTGTTTTCCAAGCTTTGCCAGTTGCTGCTAAAACGTTAAAAGACGAGAGGTTCCAGAGCTCAGTCGCCGTACAGTGAAGAAAAATAGACGTGACCCCGAATTTCAGAAATGTCCAAACGCAAAGAAGCATTTCTTTCCAAACACTGTCGTCGGTCGATGAGCATGGCACAAAAATAAAGCTCTCAAGTACCTGTCTAACTAAGTCTCGTGCGCTGGACTCCTCTTGGCTAGGCGGGAAAAGTATCACGTTGTGTATGATTCTGTGTTGGATCTGGTCGGGTGTCGAATGATATCGTTTGCTTGTGAAAGGATGCTGGAAGAGAGTCTTCAGCGTCGCTTCACCAAATAAAATGGAAACGCACAAGACCAAACAACAAAAAGTACAACAGTCCTCCGAATGCCCAGCAATCACTTTGATAACCGATGGGCCAGTCAAGGATCATCTCTGGAGACCAATACTCGACACGTTCATTAACCAGTGGTTTTGCAGGGGGTGTAGATGTCGAAGAGGCGAAAAAGGCAGATTCAAAATCTGTCAAGACAACATGTCCATGAGTGTCCATGCAAACCGTCTCGGGATTCAAGTTGAAATGGACGATTCCAGCGCTATGGATATTGAATACGGCTTGCGCCTTGCTCATCGTCAGTCGCTTGGGTCATCCAAAAAGAAAAACGCGTCTCACAATCTCGCTCATGTACAAGATAACCTCGTCTGGAGTCAAAGGGCTGCACTGAGCCATAAACTGAACCAATGTGGTCGGTAGAAACTCCTGTTCAATTCGACATGAATGGATCTTTGAAGCCAAGAGAGATACTTACCATCACAGCATATAGAACCTCATTCTCAAAGAAGGTCCAATGAATGCTTTGTAAAAAGAAGGCGTCCATATCGATTATGGTGCTCAAAACTCGAGAATCGCCTCGGAGACGCTTCAAGGCATAGACTTGCCCACTATCGCGTTTCCTGCAAGCCTCGCTGATGGGGAGCTGCTCGAAATCTGACAGACAGACGCTATGCTGAAGTCGTGATGAGTGGAAAACCCGCATTGCTGACGATAGGTCTTACACGAACTGGGATTTCGGGTTCTGAAATTTCTTCCATGATGGTTGGCAATCTAGTTGAAGGGATCTTGGGCGACATCACGACAATTTCCTATCCCAAGTGAATCAGAGGAAAAACCAGTCCAAAGAGATGTCACATTGATATCGTCGTCCCATTCTGGCATAGTCTTCTTTATGTCGGTGATGTGCTGAGACTGGAGGTGAATAAAGAGACGGAAAAAGCGTTCTGGTCAACCTCGAGATTATAGCTCGTGTCAATTGGCAACGAGTCTTCAAAATCGCCATCGAGGAGACCTGAGAAAGAGTCTGCAAATGGGACTTGGTCGAATGGGTTGACCTCGAGGAGAGAAACGCGCGATTGAGAGCTGCTCTATGTATCTTTCAGAAAGATTCCAATCGAAATCGCTGAATGTTACCTTGGCTCCACATTGATTGCAAACTGGGGAAGCCATGGACGAAAGTGAATTGTTGCGCGCGAGAGCGAGTGCTGAGGTCACGCGGACAAGCGCTTGGCCGCGGCTCGCATGCGTATTCATACAAAGGCCGCCCTACGCCGTCCAGTTCCACAAAACCCGTTATCTCACAAAGCAGAGTTGGTCATTCATTCAGATCCTTTAAAAGGATGGGCCATGGGGTTTTGGAAATTATTCGAAAATGGTCTCAATCCAGAACGTTATCCAGCTCGGCGCATCTGGTTCTACCGGTTCCCCTGTACTCGAAGCCTTGCTCGCGGCTGGTACATTCAATGTCAGCGTACTGACGCGAGAAACCTCGACTAGCACTTTCCCCGATGGTGTCACCGTCGTCAAAGCCGATTACGAGTCGCACAAATCTCTTGTTAAAGCCCTGACCGGCCAAGACGCCATTGTTATCACTCTCGGAGGTAGCTTCGATGTATTGGAGGTCATCCAGAAAGCGGTCTTTGAGGCTGCTGTCGAGGTCGGCATTAAGCACATCATACCTTCGAGCTATGGAAGGTACTTATTATGCATCTTCCAAAAGGTGCCGCGTTGTATTGACTTTTTACAAGTGATCTTTCAACGGAAATAGCACGTTCGCAGCCGGTTTTTGCTCCCAAGATCCGGAGCGAGGCTTATCTCGCCGAACTTGCTTCCCAGCACAAATTCAACTACACAGTAATCGCTACAGGGCCTTTCCTGGACTGGGGTACCGCATTTTTCCATCTTCATATTTAACCATGGTATTGAATCTTTGAATAGGACTTGTCTTCCGCTTTCTCGGTATCGACCTCGTCAATAAAAAGGCTACACTTATCGATAATGGGACCCGAAAGGTCAATCACACCTTGGTCGCCAGCATAGGGCTTGCTGTTGTCTCCATTCTTTCGAATCCCAACCTGATCAAGAATAGGACCGCTTGCATTCACGATTTCTTCGTCAGTCAACGAGAAATCCTTGAAATCGCTGAAACAGAGCTTGGCGTGAGCTTCGAAATCACTCATGTCGACTCTGAGGAGCTTCAACGGGAATGCGAGCCTGGATTGGCGACCTGGGATCCAGCCAGTGTCGGTGGACTCATCCAAGTCGCTGGGTGGGGAAAGAATAGTTCGTCTGCCTGGGGAACAGATGATGATAGCAAAGCCCTGGGTCTTACCAGCAAGGATCTGAGACAGGAAGTGGTCAAAGTTATCAATCAGCTCAAACTCCGAGAATAGGCAATATGTAGATTCTGTCGCAAAGCTGATTTAATTCGAGGCTGACTATATACGAGATGAAGAGGTGTCAGCATTATTCGCAGACTGCGAAGGATTATGCAAACTGTTCAAGCCTGGCAGTCGGATTTTCAGCGAAAGAGAAGGCCCAGGAGGTTTGCTGGCGATGGGTGAACCCATCGACGGTGAACCCAAGGAAGTCAAAGAGCTCGTTGCAGAAGAAAGAGGCGCAGCGACTGGGATCGATTTAGTCGGAGTCTTGAGCGTCTTTGTTCTGTTGGTCGGTGTCCGGTCAACATATGGCATCTCATCATCGCGCTCTTTTCGCTTTCTGCTCCGCTTCTCAGTGCCATTGCCATCTCCGTTCGTCACTTTACGTCGGGTTCGTGAGCGGTTTGAAAGAGCCTGAAGAAATGGTAAGCAGCAAAGACATGTTTTTTGGGTGAGTACCAACCGGGATGGGACCAGGCGGAGTATCTAGTCCAGAGAGCGAGATATCGGACTCTTCCATCTGGAGAGCATGAGTAATTTTGTCTTGTTGGTCTAAAACTGGGATTCACCTTCACACGACGATTCCGTGCTGCTCGACTGGGGATTCCAAGTGACTCGTCATCAGGTTCCGTCCCTCGTCTCTGTGGGTAATATTCAAAACTCAAAACCGTGAACAAGGACATGAATAAGGAGGCTGACCCTAGACGAAGAGGACGCTGCCTCTGCACTCTTATTATTGGATCTTAATTCACGAGTCGGAGGATCTGCAGCCTGGCTGGCGACAGTCGACTTTTTCCGCTTGGCAGTCGATGATGACGGTCCAGCTGATGCCCCAGAAGTAGTGTGAGCCGGTAAGCGTGACGAGCGCTATAACTACATAAAGATCATGCTGCTGCTGGAATTCTGAGAAATTACCTTGACAGGAATTACGGCTGTCGAAACTGGACGTTGAGAGGCCATGGGTGGGAGCTTGATTCGAGACGATGAAGCGACATTCTGTGTTCCATTACTGAGCTCGAACAGGAGCTGGGCCTAGTTAGAAGTCATCCCAATGATGGAAATAAATAGCCCACCTGAGCGGCCTGCAGATCACCGGTCAAACGAGGCGGTGCTGACGGTGCTGGCGGTGCTGGCTCTTCCAGATCC